TCTTGGCCGTCAAGATGTCGATCTTGACGGTGCACCTTGCATTTATTATTTTCCCCTCATGTGGTGTCGCCGTTTCTTCTTGGGACTTTCACATGTCCCCGCCACTTGTCCCGTCGGTGGTCCCCGACACTTAGTCCCGTCGGTGGTCCCCGACACTTAGTCCCGCCGCTGGTCCCCGACACTTAGTCCCGTCGGCGGTCCCTAACACTTAGTCCCGTTGTCGGTCCACGACATATTTCGCCCTGGACACCATTATTTTTACTTAGTCCCACGTGGTCCCGGGTGTCTTTCCCCGCGGTGTCCCATGCCCCTTGGGCGTCTTGTCGCCCCATAGCAACCCCTCTCCTTAGTCTTTCCTCGCGCCTTGTGCGTGCTGATCTCTTTGGTCGTGGGCCTCCGCTCCGAGGCTCCCATAGGTGGCCCCCACATTGGCCCCTCATTTCCTGGCTTCCCGCGGCTTCTGGCCGCCCATCCCTCGACTTTCTCATTCCCTTATTGCTATCGTGCTGCAATTGCTAGTTCAAAGGGCCCTTTGGCCTTAGTTTTATTGCATTTCGATGACCCTCCCGACCTCCTGCTATGTTCTATGTGCCCCTGTTCTTGTGCTCGCTTGCTTGTCGCCGCTAGTTCTTTCCTCTTGTGGTTCTCTCCTCAGGGCATCATTCCCTTCTGCGGCCTAACCCTTTGTCTTTTCTCTCTCCTGCTTCCTCACTCCATATTTCTCTGTTGTGCACAAATTGTCCATATTCAATCTCTCGAGTGCTGGGAAGTTATTCGGGACCCACCAGTCCCGACACCGGTCCGACCTTTCTTCTCTTAAGTGGCGAGCACCAATACCGAGGTTCCTCCCCACGTCTGCCAAACGGGTCCAATCCAAGCCTGTCAGGGCCTCGTCTAGTCGTAAGAGCGTTCCTCGCGAATCGTTCCTCCCGAGTGGTAATTTTCTGGATTCCGGCCTCTTTCTTTCAAGAGAGTTGGGGCTCTCGATCAGTCCGCGAGTGCAGTTACGAAGACCTTGGAATTAGTCCCGAAACGGTTGTAATGTTCTGGCAGGGCAGTGTCAATGCCCGTGGTGGTGGCGGACTCCACCCGGTACCTCGCCCGACCTCTCCCCTTGGAAAGTGTCGCCCAACTTAGTGCGGGAAGCCATGGTCCGACCCAAACGGCCATGCTACCCCTCTATGATGTGGCGTGTGGTTGGAGAGTAGCAAAATAGACTAGATGAGAATGACTTTCCTGCCCATTTGGCTCTCTCGCCCTTTGACGTTTAGGCGTTCAACAGGAGGCGCAGTTGGAAATCCCCGACTAGAGCTCATTGTCGGAGGTGGTTCCGGACGTCCCGCACCGATCCAAGTGGTAGGTGCCTTAGTTCTTTAACCCTCACCCCCTCGAAGAGGAACAGGTCGTGCTGACACTTTCTCCCTCAAAGGGATAGAGGTCTTTGGGGTTGCGGTGCGTGCACCGGTATCCCCCTCTTGCTGACGCCGAAGACTAGAAGAAAAAAAAAATTCAATTTCAAAGCTCTTTCCAAGTCCATTTCCAGCTGCCTAGGGTCCCATGTTTATGCAATGCAATTTTCAATACTCAATCCAATTTCAATGCTCAGTCTCATTCCCATGCTCAATCTCAATCCAGTGCTCATTCCCAGTCCAATGCTCAATGCAATATCTCTTGCCAAGCTGAGTCCAATATCTCTTCCAATGTCGTTTCCAAAGCTCCGCATCTTCCAATATCTTTTCAGAGGTTCAGCTCTTCCAATGTCATGCAGCTCAAGTAGCCATGCAAGGGGACCCCAGTGCCAATTCCAAAGAATGACCCTTGTAAGGGGCCATTCCGAACAACCTGGTTAGGGTCGTTCTTTCCATTTCCAGGTCGACCAGCCTAGTTAGGGCCATTCTTATCCATTGCAATCGGACAGCCTGGTTAGGACCATCCTTATCCATTTCAATTGGAAAGCCTGGTTAGGGTCATCCTTGTTCATTTCAATGTTAGCGTCCGAGGGGGTGGGCCTTGAGGACACGGATCATATCTCGTCCCGGGGGTTAGAAGGTGACCATCGTCTTCGGTTTTTACGCATGCTTCTTCCTTTTCCTCATGCCTTTTGTCATTCTTACATCCATCCATACATCCGACTTAGCGTCTAGTACTCAAGTCGAGGCTCGCGGCCCCAAGCAGCACTAGCCCGCCCGGCCGTTCAACCATTACAAGGGCTGCGGAACTATTTCGATGTTTCCCTGCCACTTTCCTGACTTCTTATATCCTTCCAATGTTGTGGACTTGTCTGAGATAGGTTGGGTTAGGCTCCTCGGAAAGAGGATATCTCTTTACCCGTAGGTTCCCTAACCTCTCACAAGGACTCATGCAACGACTCATTCAATCGTGGATATACAACTCAAGGGAAAGACTTTCGCCACGAATGTTTCTTCCAACGTTCAAGAGTTCACATGCCCCTGTCCATTTCCTCGAGACAAAGTCAATCAACCCCCAATCCCTTCCTTTCTACCAAAAAGCTCCTATTTCCCAAACGGAGGGAGTACTTATACAAAGTAACCCTGGTCACCCACCCTCTACCAGTTTCCTTGATCCAAAAAGTAGTTTCATCCCAGTCCTAAAAAAAACAAGGAAACAGAGTTCTAATGCAAAGGCCTCATTACAGGCTCGTCTCTTCTAGGTCCCTCTGTTTTCCCCTTACTTTCCCTTAGCCACCCCAGACATCCACAATTCTCTTCTAAGTGCGAAAAAAGCTCTCGTGCCCATTCTCGAAGAAGCAACGACTTATATGAAGTAGCATTCATTACCCAGCCTTTAGCCGCTTCGGGCTTAGCAGCTGTCTCATCATAGTTCATTCAGAAAGAAGTTCAAAGGCGAAATCCAAAATGGCAGTTGCGACTGCCCAGGCACCAACCCCTCCCAATTTCTAGCTATTTCTCATTGAGCCTTCTATTCCTCTATTGTCCAGGTGGTCTGCGTCGAGCTTCCCTCCTTGCACGGTCCTCCATTTCCTACTGCATTTGCCTCTTTATTTCTTGCAACTGAAGAAGTGTCTGGTCTGTGAAAAAAGTTGTTGGGGATAGATCCTCTCCCCTGCCCAGTTTTGCCCTTGCCTTTGTTATCCACTGAAATCGCAAGATAGTGCCCCATTGGTCAAACCAGTCGTTGAAGATTGACCCAAACTCTTCTATCCATTAGTCTTTTACCTCACCCGGTTCCTCCTCTCTTCCCGTTCTTCCCTTGTGGGCGTTGTTACCTCATCTTCCTCCTCGTCGCCGGTGAGGTTAATGAACTCAACGGGCTCATTCTTTCCTGGCCGTTGTCCTTCCTCTCGGTTCCCCTCCTCCATCCTTCACCTTTTTTCCGGGTTCCCCTCTTTCTTACTACTAGGATCACTGTCTGAAGGCAGCTCTATTGGCTCCCCTTCCTTAAGTGGCGGCGGTCCTCTGGTTCCTTGCTTTCTGCCCCCCCTGTTCACAACTAGGTTGTGGTCGAACCCCACATACAACTTCCTTTTTCTGGAGCTTGACTCTCCAGCTTGCCTTGACGACTGTCCCTCTTCTGGCCTGTTAATTGCATTGCTGTCATTTTAATTCCCAAACTCCATTTTTTTGTTTTCTTGTTGTCTTTCTTCTTCTTGCCTGGCCCTGTTCATACATAACAGTCACGGTACCCCTCATACACACGCATTCCCTTCCACTCCCATTTGCAGCTTTGGAGGCTTCCCTAGAACTCTTGCTTGCCCCCATATAGTTGGTAGTCCCTTTATCCCTTAGAACCCTCGACACATTGTCCCAACACATAGGTGCCCCATGTAGGCAGTCCACAGCATCACCCCACAAAAACTATGGTACATTGTCCCAGCACATAAATACCTCGTGTAGACAGTCCCCAGCGTTACCCCACAAAAACTATAATACACTGTGCCGTTCTCCCAAGCCCAGTCACAGTCAGCCCAGACAGTCTCCGCACGTTCCACAAAAAGCAAGACACACAAAAGAACAATCCCTGTGGTCATGATCACTTCCACAGGGAGGCGGTCCAGAACTTATAGCCAGCTGCCTGCCTTTCAGGCTGTCAGTTCCCCAGTTTCTCTGTCCTGGGCTTCTTGTAACCATTGTTCCACCGGATCCCTGCTAAAAAATCTGGCCAGTCTCTGTCCCGGAAATGGTCCTCTTATGCTAGTACCATCAAGATCCTCAAGTTCGAACGTATTCAGTCCCACCCGCTTAGCGATCATGTAAGGCCCTTTGAATCTCTTTCCCAGTTGCCCAGATCATGTGCTTTCAAGAGCCGAGTTTCTAACTAACACTTTCTCCCCCACCTGGAGTGGCTTTTTCCGAATGTTTTTGACCTGCTCCCACCTTGCTTTGTCCTTCATTCGGCTATCCGTTACACAGTTAACTACTTCCTCCAATGCCTCCTCATTCCTGGCGACCTGCTGGCAACGTGCGGTGATTAAATCCTGCGTGGTCAAGTGCGGATTATCATCTAACCTGTTCCAAGTAGGGACGATGGCCTCCACTGGGAAGTCAATCTCCCTTCCATACCATAGCTCCGCTAGAATGCATCCTGTCGTTCTCTTTGGTGTCATGTTCTCAGAGAAGATTATCTGCTTAAGGTATCGTGGCCAGTTCCCCAAGTTGTCTGCTGCAAGCTTAGCGATTGTGTTTTTCAAGGTTCGGTGTCCCCTTTCTACTGGTGCATTTGCCTCAGGGTGGTAGGGTTCAGTGATCTTGATTGGTACACACAGTGTCTTAAGCCTGTTCAACACCTCCTGGTTAACGAATTTTGTCCCATAGTCTGCTATGAACATGCGCACGAAGGGGTGCCTTAGGTAGAAATCTTCCACCTATTCGACCACTGCTTTTCCCGTCTTCTTCTTGAGGGTTACGGCTTCTACATAGCCGCTAAGATTATCCCTTGCATCCAAGATGTATCTAAACCCATCCGTTGATACGGGCATAACCGCAAGATCGAGGTGAACAAGGTGTCCGGGTCCAGTACCCTAGTGGGTCTAAGGGGCTCGTAAACTCGTACGGAGCTCCTCTCTTGACATATCAGACACGTCTGACAGTACGTCGCGACCATGCCTGTCATTCCTGGCTAGAAGTACAGGGGCACGATCTTTGCAAGTGTCCCCTTAGACGACCGATCACCTCCAGCTAGCCCATCGTGCATTGCCTGAATTACGTCCAACTGCCTAGACCTCCCACAAACGACGCGACTAGGCATCATCCCTTCGTCTTTCTTGAACAGGTGGCCGTTTCTTAGGACATGCTTTTCTACTTCCTCCCTTGCCTTGGGACTGACTTCTGTGGGTTGTTTGTTTCCTACAAGCAGCAGACCGATTTCTTTGAAGACGCCCTCGTACATCTGTATGAGGAAGAATTCATGTTTGTTCTGATCCGTACCTTGCTCCTCCCGAGTGAGGTTGACTAGGTACTGACACTCCTTTTGTGCCCAGGTTTCGGCCAATGTCATCACGGCGTCCCGTCCCCCTTCCACGGCCATCGCCATCAGCTCTTCTCTGGCCCCTACTTCTGCTCCCCACGAGTCCTTCTCCTCTTTACGCCTGATCGTGGTGGCTGGTCCTTCCCTGAGTTCTGCAACTACTGGAGGTGCGCCTTTTTCCAAGGTCTGAATCAGCAACTGACCTGTTGTAATTGTCGGATCTGCCATCTCATTATCCACCACAAGGGTCCCTCCTTCATACTCCAGGAAGGCGTCGATTGGTTCCACGTCCTCTACTCCTTCTGGCGTGATACATACCCTGCTCAACCCATCTGCCCTGTTTCGAAGCCCCGCAATCCGCTCGACCTTATAGTCGAATTGCCATATGAAGCCTATCCATCTGCCAACGGTCGGGTCTATAGGCTTGTTGTTCTTTAGGGCCCCAACGACGTTGGTAGGATCGATCCTTAGGATAAATTGCTTTTCGAACAGGTATGCCTGGAAGGTCTTAAGACAATGCAGAATCGCTAAGACCTCCTTCTTGAACTGTGAGTACCGCAGTTCTGCCGAATTCAGGGTCCTACTTTCAAATTTGATTGGCCTTTCCTTGCCTTCCTCGCTTCTCTGTATCAATACTCCTCCAACTGTCAGCGGTCTCCCATCTGTTTCTAAGATGAAGGGCCGTCCTACCTCGTCATTAAAACAGAGTGCTGCTAGAGTGACCTGATCAGATGACATGATGTCTTTGAGGGTTTGGGCTGCCTCTTCCCTATCCTCGGTCCAATCCATAGTGTCACCTTCCCTAATCATCGCGCGGATATGTTCTGCTATCTTTGCGAAACCTTCGATGAAGATCCTCTAGAATCCAACCACCCCTAGGAAGGCCCGTACTTCCATCGTGGTACGCAGGGGTGTCGGCCACTAAGAGATCTTATATGTCTTTGATGGGTCGGGTCTCCTCCCATAGGCCCCACAACGAAATTCCAGTATAGTTACCTCCGGGACAGCCAGGATGCTTTTGGGTCCGCTTGCAGTAATATTGTAGACTAAGAATCGCTGGAGCATGTCCTTAATATCCTGCAAGTGGTCCCAAACAAACTTCCGTACGCCCGGTTGGACCTCCGCCTCGTCCTTGTATCTTGCACCTTTTACAGGATTATCACCTATATAAGGTTCGCACTTTTCCGGAAAGATATTTCCTGCAACGGCGAGCATCCTCCTTCGCGCCTCTGCTATCGCATTTGTGAAGCCCATAGGGGTCACTTGCATCTGCAACTGTCCTAAGGGGGTGTGCATTGTGGTGTACGGTCTATCCCTCGCATCGAGCGGCAACTGATCATATCTTGAGTACAACTCTACCAAGGAGTAAATGCTCCGCCCCGCATGAGATTCTGCCAACAAGTCGGCCTGTGGGAGCGAGTCTGCGTCCCTAATTATTACCGCATTGAACTTCTAAAGGTCCTGGATCCACCTTAGCGTCTTATTGGGCTTCCTGAACACGAACCACTTGTTCGCGTAGGGGGATGCGGTGGGTTCAGCCACGAAAGAATCTATCTTGGCTCTAAGCAGGTCGGTGACCTCCACTGCTATCCCAAACTCATAGGCGGACCCTTTATCATTCCAWCACTCGTGCTGTACGGTGTGGATCCTGACAGGGGGAACTAGCTTTGCGTCCAATCGCCCTTTCTGATAATCGTTGAAAGCGAAAGCTAAATGAACTCCTGACATGCCTTTCTTATCAACTGAGTTTCTTCCGTTGTTAGAAACTCTTCCACTCCTATTTTCATGGTATCTGCTACCTCATCTGGTATGCGATGCCCTTCCGTTGCTCGCCTCTCCCTTATTACCCGCATGATTTCCTCCTCTTTTTCCATGGCTTCATCCTTTGACGTTTCTACTAGGATCGAGACGGACTTGGCCTTCTTGCCTACGGGTTTATACTTTCGCACACTACCTTCGGTGATCGTTCTCCTAAAAAATGAACGGTCGGGATCGGCCTTGCTACCTCCAAGACGCGGGGCTGGATACTGACAAGCTTCCCATTCAGACAGTAGACCTTTCGAACCCCATCCTCAAATCTAGCAAGCGCTGCGGGGTCCACCCCCACTTTGTGGCACTTGATGGCCTTAATGAGTTGTAATAAATCTGGGATTTCAAACACCACCGCCGACGTTTCGTTCCGGCCTTCCTTTGGTTTGGGCAGGTTGGCCCCAAGTTCGACTTCCGACTCTTTTTCTGCCACCATAACTTCCAGGGTCTCGTCCTCCTGTCGCCTTTTCTTTAGAGGCAGACCCATTTTGATCCATTCCTTTTCACTAAACACTTCCTCAATCATAATTTCTACCCTTTCCCTCATGCCTTGCATCCGTGCGAATGCGCCTTTCCGTGCGCTTTCTTCAAACGTCGGCGACCAGGTTGCCAACTTACCCTTGGGAGGGTCCCCTCCAGGGTCGAGGAGTCGGAGAAGTTCTCCGCGATCAGTCACCGGATCCTCTATGTCTACCATATATATGCCATCACGCAGGTGCATGCCAATCATTTCTACATTGACGCACCATGGTCTCCCGATGATTATGTCATGGTCCATTTCTTCCATGACGGTCATCCGTTGGAAAGACTAGATGGATTCCCGAATACCTGCCTTGATCGCGCATTTGGTGACATACCCATTAAAGGGGATTTCTCCGCCTGCTCTCCAGATACTCCCTGCTACTTCCTTGTTTACTGTGCACCCCGTGATCGTTGCGAAATCCCGTCGTATGAGGGTAATTTCCGCGCCGCCATCCACTAGTGCATCGGTGTGGTGAGTTCCGACTTGGACGTTAAGTTTTCCCACGGGCAGTGCATGGAAACTAAGTTTAGTGTTGGGCGGTGCTCTCATTACTTCGCCACCTTCTCGGTCCGACAGACTTAGACGAATATCGGCAAAGGTTTTTTCCAAGTCTTCCAGGCCCCCTGGAATGCTTTGGACTTTAGAGACTTTTTGTGGCGCCTATGCCTCCTCGGGTCCTTGTTCCTGTGGTCCCGGAGCCTCCTCTACTTCTACACGTCTACGCGTCAATAGCTGTCTGAGGCCCTTGAGCAGTCTCGGACTTGCCTGCAATATGGTCTGGAAGGATACTGACACCATGATGCCCAGAAGTTTGCTTAGTGTGTCATCTAATTCGGGCAGCGTCAGAATCGGAATCTCGTATCTGAACTTTTTTTTTGTCGCCGTGGCTTTGTCTATCGGTTCCTTTTCCCTCGTTTTTTCATAGACCTTCTTCTGTTCTCCGACCTCAGCTTCCTCCTGATCCGCACTAGCCCCCGCGACTTCTTCCATTACTGTGTCTCGGATGAGCTTCTTTTCTGCGCCAGCCCGTCGAGTAGTGATATTTACTCTATCATGCCCATTGCCTTCTACGATAAAATTGGCCTGTGGTCCCCGTTCCCTTGGCTGGTTTCAAACAATCTCGGCTATCGGCTCTGCTTCTACGGCAGCTATCTCTAAGTTATTCAGGAGGATGACGACTCGCCGCATCCCTCCTGGCGAGTTCCAATTGACTCGTTCCCCCCTGGGTCCGAGGATCTCGCCTTTGAGGGACCTGCTACACCTCTGCAGCTCGATATCGTGATTGAGTCTCGACAGGCCCGTACGAAATACCCGATCATGGTGCAATACTTGCATTGTTTGTTGGTCGGGTCCCTCCTGCCAAATCCCCGGTTTGCTACAGCTGCAGGAACCACGGCCTCTTGGGGTGGGAGGGCGGGTCTCGACACTTGCGCCTGCATTACTAACAACGCATTTTCCATTCTTTCCATCTTGCTGTCAACCCCATGCACTCACTCGTGCAGACTTTCTATCCCTTTCTTAACCTTATCTCTTGTTTTCCCAGTCAGATTTATGACCTCCCCTTCCTTAAGCAGGGCTAGTGTCTCGGTGACCACCGTCTTTTCCGCAAGGTCTGTTACGGTGTTGAAGTCCCCATCTCTTACTGGTCTACTGGTATGCTGACAAAATCTTATCTTTATCAAACTCGGAGAACTGCCTGAGGAAGTATTTACTCATTATGCGGTCCGTTACCCCGGGAATTCGCAGCGCCACTAACGTAAATGCCCTTAGGAAATCGTTGTAAGTCGCATAGGTTTTCCTCTGGACTGCAGCTAATTCGGCCTCTATTGCCATTTTCTCTGCCTTCAGGTATTTCCTCATTATCTCATTCCTGGTTTCTTTCCAGGATCCACTGGAGATGACGATGGCCATAATGTCCCTTCCCAAGCTTAGCGACACGTGCTGCCCTAGGTGCTCCATTTTTTCCTCTTCCGTCCATTTCAGTAAGGCTGCTAGGTTCTCATAGTCTATTAGAAACTTCGTAATGTTGGCCCCATCGAAAGTGAGTTTCTTCTTTGCATCTGCGAGATACCCCTGGTTCTTATTTAGTGTTCTGGTGAGGGTGGCGACTACCCTCTTGAGACCATATTCGGAGCCACCCGCTTCTCCGGTTGCACTGGTCCCTTCCCCTTCCTTGCTTTCCCTCTGCTTCTCCCTGGTTTTCGGCGCTCCTTCTGGGTCGAACCATCCTAGCACTCTTTCCCTAAGGCTCCAGAGTCCGTCACACGCCCCTATTACTTTCGGCGTGGTGGGCAGTCTGCTAGTTTCGCTATCGATGGCGGGTGGGGTCATAGCGTTTTCTGCTCCTGCCACTGGGGGGTCGTCTTTGTCCTTCCCCTTCTTGCTAGGCATTCCCTTGTGGCTATTATCCTTTCCTTCATACTTGGCCTCGTCCTGACTGGTCCTCCGCCCCTCTCGTGACCCTGGTCCTTGCGGGTCCCCCTCATCCCCGACCATTATCTGCTCAATAAGCTTTGCCTTAAACTCTGCAGTGCGCTTTTTTATCTCGACCAGTTTACGACGAATATCCGTGACTTTCGTCTTTTTAGGGGTGGTTCCTGCTAAGTTCCGAGGGCTTGTTCTCGTATCGTTCCCTCCCTCCCTGTTTTCCTGAGGTCCCATTTTGCTACCCCCAGCTTTCCGCGAGCTTTCTCCTGTTGAGAGGTCCTTCCCGTCTTCTCGGGTTCCCTCTAGTTTGGCTGACTCTCGATCCCTCGCCGATCCCTCGTTTCGTTCTCCATCCTCATTCGTACCCTGACTCCCTTTGCTCTGCTGATCCTCGATTTCTTCCTCTATCGCTATTCCTTTACCTAGCCTGCATATGGACAAAAATTTTGCGAAAAATGGCCGGTTGTTCATAACTGCCTTAATCCCGACCCTAAAGTCCGCCTATTCCAATATTTTTGCGTCTTACATTAATCAGTACGACTCTTCTGACTTTTTTCTCCCGGGGCGTCCTTCAGGTTTTCTTCTACCGGGGCCTTGCCGCCGCCGCTTGGCATTTCATTACGGCCGCGCTTTGATTCTTAGGGCGGTGCCTGGGCCCATCAGCTTTCCTATAGGGGATGACCTTTTCGGCTTATTGGCATCCAGATGCCTCAGAATTTTTGGAGCGGGTGGTCTTCCTAGTTCCTCCCTGCCGCATCATTGGGTTGGCCAGAACTTCAACCACTGCCCCTCTTTTGCTGATGGCTGCCTACTTATCATAGTACCCATCCTTTATTTCCCTACCTCTCCCTGACGCATTTTCTCATGCTGGTCCCTCAAGCCTGCCCTGCTCATCTGGTTCCTCGAACAGGTCAACCAACCCAGCAAGGTAATTTTCCCCGATCTCTATTTCGCTGATAATTATTGGCTCATATTCTTCAAACGACAGGTGGGGCAATCCGAATATCAAGATCTCGAGTAATTCGAGTAGTTCCCAGGCCTGATTCTCCCAGAACGGCCGATGTCTGAGCAACACGTCGTAGAACATGCTCGTTGTTTGTGGCCGGAAGAGGTGGATCCAGACCAGGGTCGAATCTACCAGGTCCCTAACTCCCTTGAGGCTACCGAATACCAAGTCCACCTAACGAGGTACTTGACACCTCAACCCGGTCATTGGGGCCTTAAACACTCGCCAGCCTCCGACCTCCACCCGAGTTCTTAATCCCACGTTTCTTCTCCCCCGCACTTCCTGGCCCACCCTGTTCAATTTCCTAGTAGCCCTCAGGAAGATTGGTAGCAACCCGTGACCTAGTGCCAATTTCGTTCCTATCATGTACCATCCAAGTTCCGGCAGGTATATGGTCCCCGTTACCCTAAGATCGGTATACAGATCGTCTCCCGGTCCCCTGTTAATTCTCATACCATCCCACAAACATTCCACCATCATGAACGCCTGACCTCTTCCCAGGGTCACGGCCCTCCATTCGATGTCCAATCCTTGGATCTTGTAGCTTGCTGGGAGCGATACCTCCCATCCGCCTCCACTTTCCGTGGGTGGCCGCGGGTGTGTGGACCGTGGCAACATCCGAGCGCGTCTCATCACCATTTTTGACTTAGTAGTCCCCTGCACAGTTTAAACAGCAAGCGGTTTTACTTATTTCATTTAATCTTCAGCTCCCGTCCGAACACTCCCCGGTTTCTAGATTGAACCTTCCTTTTCTTTCCTTGACCTCTTTTATTGGTCCGTCCCTACGTCCATCGGCTCAAACAATCGGTACAGATCATCCACGTACACCATCCCTTGACTTATTTCCCGTCGTATAACACCCCACATGACCTCACTTCCCACGACCGGAGCCCTCGGCCTAGTGCTAAACACAACACGCAAGATGCGCAACACCTCGTACTTCTACTCTCCACTGAACGGGCCCATTTCTAGGAAGGCCCGATAGTATTCTCGATGTACCATCGCATCTTCATATGTCACGCTTGCGAGGTCGGCTACCGCTTGTCTAACAAGCCCCAGACCGCCCAGCCTTTCCAGCAGGAAGCGCGATAGCCTCATTCGTACATTTTCACTATGCAATTCGAAACTCCCGGCCATGGCTACCCTAAGGTCCGATGTTACATCATCAACCCCCGGATTTGCGAACTCAAATCCCGCTTGCCATACTAACTGCCATGCCCCTTCAAACATGCTCAACGGGTCTTCTCCTAATGCCAGCCGAACTCCGAACTCCCTCCACCCATCCTCTGACACATATAATCGTCCTTCTGCACGCACATGCCCCCACGGGTCTGGGTTCCATTCCCCACTCTCATCCGAACGCCACTCAACTTTCATCACCAAGTAAACTATATTTTCCGCAAGCTCGACCCCGACCCAATCTGCCACCTGGTGCCAGCCTTCACTTGCCGCCGGCAAGCTAACCTCTACCCCACCCAGTACTTCCCTAGGCGGTTCAATGCCCAAGGGGCGTTCTTCAAGGAACGTCCTTCTTCGCGCCATCGCATACTCGCCTTTGATCTTCTGCCTCGTGATCCGCACTGAACCCTACAATGGTCAGACATCCCATTCCATTATCTTAGCAACTTTTCTCATATTTGTCTGGCCCCACGGCTTTCCCGCGTTTAGTCGAACCATCGACCAGTTTGAACACATCATCCACATAGCAAGGTGTTGCAACTACCTCACGGCGGATTATGGCCTCCCTAGTTTCCGGGGCCACCTCCTGTCGGTCAATCCTTTCAATCTCCAAAATCATAAGAACCTCCCGGGCTCTATCGCCGTGGAAGGGCCCGAATTTTAAGGACGTCTTATAGAATTCCTTTGCCAGCCATGCGCAGTTCACGTGTATTCGTTCCATCGTGTCGGCTACCTTTGTTACGTGATCAAAACCCCCAAACCAGTCCGCCACGAACTCGGGCACCCAGATCTTGGTTCGGGTGCCAGACGGTTTAAATTCCTTCCATTCTCCCATCATGACTCTACAGTTGACCGTTCTCGGGACTGATGATTCCCGAATGATTTCCCATCACTCGAAAGACTGTATATGACCAATTTGTGCACGGCAGAGAAAAACCAGAGGTAGGAATGCTGGAAAGATCGGAAGCGAGGGCACAGACAGTAGGAAGCTAGAGGTTGCCAAGGTTCGTCAGGACCGCCAAACTAGAAAAGGATTGTCTGAGCAAGGAACGACAAAGGGGCGCAAGAAAATAGCGAAGGCGATTCTTCCCCCGAAAACGGAGAAGGACCGCCAGAAATGGTAGTAAAAGCGCGATGTGTGTCGCAAAGAAAGAGAAGAAGCAGAAAAGGATAGGACGTAAGGCGCCGGCATGGGGAAAAGGTGGTCGGGCCAGGTGGGGCACTAGGACGCAGCAACGAAAGGCTCAAGGGGACCACGGGAGACCAAGAGAAAATGCGGCACCCATGGGACAAGTGTCGGGGACCGCACGGGACTAGACGGAAAATGCGGCGCCCATGGGACAAGTGTTGGGGACCGCACGGGACTAGACAGAAAATGCGGCACCCATAGAACAAGTGTCGGGGACTGCACGGGACTAGACAAAAAATACGGCATCTATGGGACAAGTGTAGGGAACCATGAGGGGTTAAGCAAAAAATAATAAGTACGGTACTAGCACGGGACAAGTGTCGGGGACAAGTGTCGGGGACTAGTGTCGGGACTAGTGCGAGATAAGTGGCGGGGACCCGTGATATCCCAAGGAAAAATAGCGGCATGGTATGCGGTGCCAAAAAAATAAAACAAGGTGCACCGTCAAGATCTTAGCACCACTAGTGCAAGCACTAGTGGGAGCAAATGGGAGGGAAAAAAACGAAAAATAAAAAGTAAAGAAACAAGTGGTGGGAGGCATGAGAGCAATCCAAAAAATCTCGGATTGGCCTCCCTCAAGAAAATAGGGTCAAAAGGAGCCAACACGAGAAAAATAGACTCCTAGAAAAAAATCGGTGCAAGGGGGCCTACCGTTTGGGAGAGGGGAGGACTAACGGTGGCTCCCAAGGGCATGGAAGGGCCACAACTGCAGTCCGAAAAATAACAGACTGACCCTTGGGCATAGGAAGGGCCAAAACTAAGAGGGAGAGGCAAAAAAAACGCCTTCACGGGTAGTTGACACTTGACATGCTAAAAGAAAAAGTGAGAGAGGATGAGTGAGTTGACCGTCAGTTGGGACTGCAACAAGTAGGGACTGCCAAGTCCCAACTAGCCACAAGTGGAGGGAAAAGAAAAGAAAAAAGAAAAGAAAAGAAAAGAAAATTGAGAAAAGGGTCTTAACGGCTAGTTGACACTTGACATCAGGGTTGTCGAACCCCGGCCCCGGGACCCCGCCGGGGTTCCGGGGTTCCGGGGGTCGGCACCCGGGACCCCGGCCCCCTGTAGGGGAAAAAAAAAAA